CCCCCCCCCGTCCGTCTGTCCAGCGGACAACGTCCGGTCGAAATTTAATTTCAGCCAGACACACACTCTTTTCCTTTCCCTCTCCTTGCCGAGTCACCCTCGCGGCCGCAACCCTCACTGCAGCGAACACGCGACCGATGGACCGGAGACGAAGACGAAGAGGAGGAAGCAGAAGACCAAATGGAAGAGCGAGGGAAGTGTGCGCGAGGGTGTCCGACGTCGACGTCGTCGTCGTCGTCGCGCACGGCGCCGCTTCGTGGCTGCGACTGAACGGTTCCGTTCTCCACTCGGAGCTTTCCTCCTCTCCCCGCTCTCTCCTCTCCTCTCCTCGCTTCGCCCCTCTCCCTCTCTCTCCCCCTTGCCTGGTCGTAGCGCGACCGCACTGTGGGACGTAGAGCGCCGCGACGCAGCATCCCGCCGCTCGCCCATCTGGCGAACACACGAAGCGCGGACACACGAGCGTGCGGGGGTGGCCGTTCGCGTGTACGCGTGCACACACGCGTGTACACACGGCAGCGGCACAGTGTGCGTGCGCAATGTAACACGTGTACGAATCACTGTCGAGTGGAGCTTTTTGTTAATAGATATCGAATCAGCGGGCGCGGGCGCGCCTCCTGATAATCGTCCTTGTCAAAACGAGGGTGCAAAATAAACAGGCCGCGATAAGGGCGCAAGTGTGTCCTGGTCGGCCGCAAGGGCTATTAGGCGAGAAGAAATTGAGTCTGCTTTTCTTTTTAGCCGAACAAATGTTGCATTGAATCTCTGTTCCTTTTCTCTTTAATGCTGGGTTACAGAGAAACACTCTGTTATTGGCAACCCCTTGGCTATTGACACTATAGAGAAAAAAAATGGTTTTTCTGGCGACCAGCATTGTAGTTGAACTTCTTGCCTGCATTGTACACTGAGAGAAAATATCTAAAAAGTAAAATGTGTATTTTTATTTGCGATGGGTACTAATAACTTATCTTCAATCTTAGTTATTTTATTCAAGTAGAATAAAAAATTGTTTTTATGAAATGTGTTATTAGGAGATCCATTCCGAATAAATATTTTTGACCTCTTAAGTATTTCTTCTCTCAGTGTATGATTTCAAAAGAGGTCGTTGCAACTAAAATTGTCAACAGATGCCGTTGGTCGCAAGAAAAACGATATTGAGAAAAAAGGTATCTGAAAAATAAAAGATATTTATTCGCTGACTAATAATATATTCAGTTCAAAATTCTTTTGTTAAAACAGAATAAACAATCGCTTTTGTGAGGAGCGACGATTGTGTTTTAGGAAAATATATATTTTTTCATTTGAAAGAAATGTTTTTCTCTCAATGTGAAAATACATATATTGATATAAGTAAATATTATTATATAATATCCATCGAATAAATATTTTTCACTTTTTAGATATTTTTTCTTTTAGTGTGTCTATATAGAGAGAATATTATAGTTTTCTGTTGTACTGTGTTTTTAGTAGTATAAGAATAACTCGCCACAGTGAGGTCTTTATTTTGCTAAAGAACATAGCAAAGTTTTTAATAGCACATTCAGTTCCCAAAATATAAATAGCACGTATGAAATAGGAAGATAGTTAGCTACTGCAGAGTGTCGATCTATTTGTCAGTTACAAAATTCTGTCGTAATTTATTTCTATTTATATATTCTATTGTATTTTTAATTATTTTATTATTATTTCAATATTATTCCATATACTTGTTCATTACGTTATTCTATTATATTAATTTATTCTATTGTAATTTTTAACTAATTATAATTCTATTATAATTTTTATTACAAAATCCTCTTTGTACAGAGTGCCACGGCTTAGAGGGATGTGAGTAATCGAGTATTTTACCCCATCTATTTATTTTCCTCTAAAGGCAAAAAGTGCAATCAAATTCAGCTGAAAAGAACAGACCTGTTGTCTCACGGTGATTCCGTCGTTGTCAGTCACCCGTGTCTTGTCAGTTGTGTCGTGACTCCCGTCGTGTTCCACCGACTGTTATTTTGGTATTAATCATTTTTTTCGGACACACAGCACGTCAATCGATGCGACGGACTCTAACGGGGTCCCTGGTGTATCAATTTAGGGATGAAGGGCTCAACGCTTCGGTTGCCATGCGCTAGCCCAAAACAATTGAGGGCCCACTACTATCTACACGCTTCCGTCACGGTATTACTCGTTAATACTGCCACGACGTATCGATTGACGGCGCGAGACCCTTCGACTACTTTCGTCCGTCGCATGTGTGGGGGTTGTAATTTTATTTGAAATTTCAGAAACGCTTCCGTGAGGGAGAGAGAGAGAATCAGACGTGTTCTCTGAAATGTTCTCTGAAATATGTGGAAAACGGATCGACGCTCGCGGAAAGGGACGCTCACGTCCTTTGTAGCTCAATTTCCGCCCCTAGTCCGGAAATAATAACGCAACATCGACTTTTGTTCTCGGACGAGAAACGCTTTGTATTTTCTTCTCTCTTTCCGCGAAAATCCTCCCGCTCCTCTCCTTTCGCTCGAGACACGGAATTGCTGATGAAATTGCGTGCGCTCTAATTCCGTGCATATTGATTTGAGGTGTTAATACCGCATCGCTCTTCCGGCACAAAGCCCTCCCGGACCGGAGTCGAGGACGCGTGTGACCCGACCTCACGCATCGGGCTTCTGGAAATTCGAGAATCTCACACGGATGCAGTGACAAAGGTTGAAACCCCCGGAACGATGGAAATATTTCATTGCGGTTTCGTGCGAACACTCTTAGTCTTAACTCCTCAAGTGGCGTACTCGGAAAAGTTTCGTGATAAAATATTCAATTTCTCCTGATTTACTGAAACTATTGTTTCTTCCCCAATTCATGGAAAATGCAAATTAGATACAGGATGTCCCACGAACACAAGCTGTATATACTACGAAAGTGTGTTTCTAGGATCAATTTAAGCCGAGAACTTCCTATAAACATAGATGAAATCCACAATGCCTGGGAAGAAATTTAAAACGATGGTTAAAAAGGGCTTGGACAGTTTTTCCCTACTTCTATCAAAGTACTCCTATAAAGACAGATCCTACATAGAAATGTTACGTTCTTATAAATGAGCACCTAGACTTGTAAATTTGAGTAGTCTCTATATTTTGGTATGTTTAACTAGACAGATACTTAATTATTTAAAATATAGTAACACTTATCAAAATATTTACCTTATAATTATCAATCATTAACTAATTAAAAATCATTTACTATTTTATTAAAAATCATTAATTATTTTAATGAATAATCGTTTCTTCACTGAAACCATTTCAAGAATTGAACTACTCCTGATTAGCATTATTAGCACAAGCCTCGTTTAGGGTTTCCACACGTTTTTCCCTAAAAATTCATAAGCCATTAGCGAAAATCTATTTAGAATTTATTTATTTTGGTCATATCTGGGCTCTATGAAGGCTTGCCTATTTTAGAACTTTCATGTCAACATTAATTTATGGCCTATTCATGAAATTCTATTCAGAATTTATCTATTTTAGCCATAGCTATTAGCTCTATGAAGGTATACCTGTTTTAGGATATCCCTGGCTAGGGCCATTACATACATAGGACTCACTTTGATTAATTTCTATTCGGGATTTACCTAAATACATATGTTTAAAACTAATAATTGAATTACAATTTCTGAAATGCTTTGTGTCATTGAGAAGAATAAATTCGAACAAATCTCAAATATTATAAAAACAAAAATTATTGAATAGAAATAAAAAATTACGTAAAATGTCCTAATTAACGTTCTTCAGTTGTGATACATCACGTATTGCGATCTAAAATGAACAAAATAAGAAGAATCTCGTAATTGTTTCTTATTTGCCGACATGCATGATTAACACATTATATTAATGCAGCTCTGGATGTTCACTACTCTTTATCTTAAAGGAGAAGATCTAAAGAAGAAGTCTTCTTTCAGAAGATTAAGGAAGACAAAGCAGAGATCTAGTACTGAACTTTGAACGCTTGCACCTAACTCTTATAAATTTTACTCACATCTGAAAGTTTAGGAATTTCATCCATATTTGGGATTAGGAAGTTTTCTGCTCAAATTGATCCCAGGAACACGTTCTCTTGGTATGTACAATTCATCATGGGACATTCTGTGTATTTTCTCTATTCTCTCTTTATTTCTTAAAATGTTTCAAAGAAAATAATGATAAAGAGAAAAGAAATTTAGATATGCCGCACCCTGGAAAATTGCGATTATTTTAAATCACAACTGAAAAGGTCAATTCTCTTGAAATCTTTTTTTTTAATTACCGCGCGTGCCTTCTTCTGAGAAACGTGGCGGACAGGTGAGAGAGGTGAGAATTTACGAGGAAATATACATTTATCGATAAAACTTGAATCGAGAAGAAAGGCCGAACTAGCCCCGGAAGCGTGTCGAAGGGACAAATTAAACGAGTGTACACTCTCTTCGCAAAGGATAATTTTTCATTTCAAATATGAGACATCCGCGCGTCGTGTGCACTTCCGACGTGCATTTCCGAGGGCTCGCGCCGGTAAATCCGCATTGTTGCTCCGGCACTCGCCCTCTTCCGCGCGCGCATCACGGCACCTCGTTAACATTTCCATCATCCATCATGGAGCTGCTTTCGTTCATTATCGCCGAGCGTAATCGCGACGACCGACGGTATCGACGACGGTATTGCGACGACCGACATATCGCGAGTTTCCCGTTATATGGCGGCGCTGTCAGTCGCATTAGGAAAATGAACCGCCGTTTCTTTTTGTCCTTTTCCCATGAGCGTGCGCGCGCGGATAAAAATGTGGAAAGGTGACGAGCGAGCTGGGGAAATAAGGGCGAGAGAGCGAGAAGGGGAGGACGCGCGTGAATGGAAAGAACTGGGCGGACCGACGACGAGGATGAGACGAGGACGACGGCGGAAACGGTGGCGCGATGTAACATTTCATTTCATCCAGGAATGAAACTTTGTACTCCGCCAGGGGGTGCGAGAGAGCCGGTGCAGTCACCCTCTTCGCCCATCGCCCGGCACGTTCGTTCGTTCGTTCGTTCGCGCGCGCGTGAGTGTACGCGAGCGAAGCTGCATCGGACGTCCAGGTCGAGGTGAGGCGAGCCCGGCCGACACGCCGGTTAGAACGTTGGAGACGCTCTTTTTCTCCCTAGGACCGTAAAGTCTCATTTCGGTGTAAATTTCATCGAGCTTTATTGCCGACGGTCCAATGCGCACCGCCGCGGAATCTCGTTTGCGTAAGCATATTTTTATGCTTACCTTCGCCGTCCGTTATGCACATTACCGCGCGTAACGTCGTGATAATAATTTTAATCGGGCAGAGAAGGAGGGGGAAGAGGAGAAGGAGAAAGCAAAACGACGTAGCTCGCTTAACTATCGCGTGCGGAAGCATCCTGTATATCACGTGGAGCCACTCTCTCGACGGGCGTTCGCGAGCAACGCCTTTCAGGAGAATCGTCAAAGGAGGGCCCGGGAAGAAGCGATGAATGCCGCGAAGTTCTGAAAACGGTGAACGAACTCTTCCTTCTCTCCCATGTTCTCCCTCTCTCTCCCTTTATCGCTCTCCTTCTCGCTCCTGGTTTCTCGATATCGTCGCAGTGACGGAGCATTCCGTCACCGAGCGAGCGACGAGAACGAAAAGCGCTATCCCCTCAAACAGATTATGAGTCTCGGATTTATTTTTACGACTCGCCTTGTGTCGAGGTAAAAAGTAGAAAGAGAAAAAGAGAGAAGGAGGCAGAGGAGAGACGCTCTTTCTTGATTCGACGGCGATGCTCCGAGCCACGACACCGTGAAATGTATAGCGCGCGTCTTATAGAAAGCAAGGAGAGCGAGAATAATCATCGTTCGAACGAACGGCGGAATTGCCGTCGGATTACCTTCGCTATCGCCTTTCGTCGCCGCGAGAACTCGCGTGAATCCACCCTTGCGCGGCCCTTGCCCCGCGTTTACAGTAAACCAGCGGCGGTTGATCACTCGACAGAATTAATCCAAGTGCACATAGTTATGTACATTCACTTTGAGTGAATCCTCAATTTTTTTTATATTGGCACAGCAATGATCCCGTCAATATAATAATATCGATTCGCCCTATATTGAGTTATATTCTTCGTCTCGACCCGTGAAACAGTGATTTTTTCGCTGAAAAAGACCAATATAGCGATCGTGCGCGGAGCAGAATCGTTGCTCCTCGAAATTGTGTAAAGTTTTTCACGAAAAAAGCAAGTGACTCTTATTTCTTCAAACAAATTAAATTAAATGTTTTAGCTGCGACACACATGCAGATATAAATGTACATGATTATGTACGGAAAAGAATATTTGGTTGAGAATTAATTCTAATTGTCTAGTGATGTGTGAACAAACCAGAATTCCGGTTGAAGTTACCAAAATTCTAGCTCAACGTGAACAGTTGCAAGTTTTATTTAACCAGGAATCTTGTATGGTTAATTAGAATCTTGTTAACTTGAACAGAATTTTGATAACATTAATCGCGGAATTCGGGTTCGTTCACATTTCACCATTTGATTAATCCAACCAAATTTGTCCCGTATGCATATTCAGAAAATCACGACAGTCAATTTTATTCGGACCACTGACAGAAAAAAAATCTAAAAAATAAAACATATCTATTCGGTGTGAGTGCTAATAAAATATTTACTCACATTTCAATTCTTTTATGTAAACAAAATAAACAATTGCTTTTACGCCAAGCTAAGGTTTTATAATAGAATATAATAAAATATAATATGTTAATATAATAATATAATAAAAAATATGTATTTTCTTATTTATAAAATAAGTATTCTTATAAAATAAATATTTCTTATTTGTGGAAATTGTATTTCTTGTTTGTAAAACATTTCTTATTAGTATAAATAAATATGCTATTAGTACACACCAAACAAATAATTTTTATTTTTTAAATATTTTCTTTCTCGTAGTGTACAAATTCTTCATTAGGAGTGTCTTTCTAGATTATTTTGTAAAAAAAAGGGTTTGTAGGATTGAACGCAGAATTGATGAATTTGAACCTAGAGTTTAAAACGTTAAGATACAGACCGCGACATATGACCATAAGGTGTGACACACCTTCAGTTCTGCGTTCTCTCTCTCTCTCTCTCTCTCTCTCTCTCTCTCTCTCTCTCTCTCT